CTGCACCAAGGAAGACCGACGTGTGGAGGACGGCCGACCGACGCCCGTTGTGCTGCCACAGCGGGGACGCGGACCACGTGTACCGACGATGCTCTTATCGCCAGCGGCGCCCGCGAGCGTTTGCGCCAAATGACACTCCACCATGCCTTGGCGAGCGACATCAGGACCTCGAAGACTATCTAAGCCGCAGCTGTCATTCCGCCGAAGATATCGCTCGTCTTCATCGGGACACCTTGAATCGCCTATTCGTAGGTCCTGCCGGGAAAACCTGTCTCCTCTGCCTCTCATGGAAACCTAGCTGCTGCAGTACAGGGAGGTGGTATTGCCGAGGACGAACGAAGCAAATATCTTTCACAAACGTCAGAGGGCTCCAACACCAGCGACGAGACGCATCGCAACAAAGCTTCTGCGACGGTGTCGAACAACCTCGACGTTATCATCGACGGCCACGACGCGACGGTACTGATCTACACCGGAGCAAACTATTTCGTTTTAAGTGGGAAGCTCTCTCGCCCGCTTCGGAAATTGATGACGCCGTGGATTTGCCCCACAAGCTTATTCGCCGCCTTGGAGACTTGTACTACGAGGTGCGCCCCGGCGGAGCCCGACCATCAGGACGCCACCGGCCGCGACCCGAAGTAGTGTACGTCATTCGTCTGAAGCCGTACTATCCTCAAAAAGACTGAGTTCTATTTATGGTACAGACGACCCCGCAGTTTACTGCTTGCTGTTGTTTGGCGTAGATCTGGGTTAATATATTTAAGCTCGCATCGGGGCGATGCACTGCGATAGAATGGAGTAATGCCGCATGCATGACTGAGAAGGAACGCGTCTCCATTCATCTGTAAGATTCGTGTTTATTCTTACCTCGAGCGTAAAAGATATGAAAGCCAGCATGACCTTGCCTACTCATTATCGCCCTAGTTCGCCGCCCCCCTCCCCCCCCCCCCCCCCAACATTCCAGGCAGAATCTTTGAGAAGCCGACCGCGCGTAGTAAATAAGGAGCCGAGCGTGGTATTGACGATTCATTCACTCTCGCCCTACCCAGCTGTCACGCCGACTCACTGCCGCTCGCTGCTGCCGCCGTCGACGCTCGCTGCTGCTGTTTTCACGTTAGTTATTCCTTTTGGTTTTGGCACACGTTCGCCGAATGAACTTTCTTTTTCGGTTTTACGCTGGTCCGGCTATTTTCATCCGCGATGGTATCACGCCACGTTATGCTGTAAGGGGAAGTTAAATCAGGTGACGTCACGTGGCGCAGTGGCTCGTGAAGTCGGGACTTTACGGGACCGGAAGCACGCAGCGCAATGTCACCTGACGTCACGGTGTCAAGCCGTAGTTTAAGTGTTGAATTATCGTCGGTCAAGTAAGATAATCGAGACAAACTTCGTTTCGCACTTCAAAAACTGCGACAACCCTTTACGATAAAATGAGAAACATCTCCACACGAGAATTCACTCATCTTTTCATGCATATACTGCACAAACTCGACAAAGCAATGGATTACACTGGTTGGCCTCTCTAAGGAAGTAGACAAAATAGGGGCAAGAAAAAGGGGTGGACGCAACGGGTGAAGCCAACGAGGGTCATCTGCACGCCCAGACAACAGACTGGGAATTATGTACAAGCACTCGAAGAGCTTTCACCAATCAACCCGATGCATCATCTGAACTCTAGAAACAATCTCAGGACATCCACCAAAACTCAGTCAAAACTTAGTTCCTTGATAGATAAGATTAGGCGAAACGGGGTCCATCAAAGGCGTCATTGCGTCTCCAGCGTCTGATCTACTCGCGAACTTTCAAGTACACTGTTGTCTGTGTTACAAAAATCGTCTCTCTTTTTCTTTTTTGCTTGGAGCACAGACAGACTTTGACCTGTCGGACAGCCGTTCGACTTCCCATTCTGAATCGATACCTCCTAAAAATTTTGGTTTGCCTCTTTTTATTACTATTTTCTACGTTTTTATTTCGAGGGGCCCCACGGCCCCTTGAAACATCGCATATGACTGATGTCACTCCAAGCGGCGTTTCCGAGACAAGCTCCGCTACGATATCCGCTTTCTGTCAAAGGATTTTTGTATATTTTTTGCTTGTTTGTTTTTGCCGTGCTGTTTGAAATAGATCGGCTTTTCTTATCCGCTAAACCATCGAAGCTCAAATCAATAAATTCCCTTTTCTGGCCTTCTCTGCTTTATTTCTCAGTGGCGTCAAAGTAGTGCCTCCTTTTTGTTCCTTCATTTTACTGACAAAAGTGTCTCTTGACATCGGAAAAACGTTGTGCCCAGGTTCACCTTTGGCTGTTTTTTTATTTTCCAGGCGTTCTCCGACAGCCATAGATAGATGTTGTCGTTGCTTTCAGTTGCTGTCAAAGCGGATTCCAAGCGAGTCACTTAGAAGAGCGTCAACAATTTCGTGTCTCTAGTTTTTCTTTATCTCCTTTCTAGCGCAACCTTCCCTCCAAACTTCAAACTTCACTGAACTGTATTTTCTTCTTTATTTTTTAACTATTTTTTTTCTGTAATCAAATATACCGGAAGGCGTTATTTCGCTTTTCTGCGCGCATCGAAATCCTACGGCTACATACGCTTCTGAACCAAAGTTGTACGTTCAAGCTCAAACTTGGTGCTTGTCTTTGGATTTGAACAACGCAAATTTGGACGGTCACTTGTGACAGCCGTGTCAAACACAATCACTATATTCCGACATCTGTTTATATATATATATAGATATATATATATATATATAATTGTGTTTATTTCCATAGTCTCAGAACGCAAGGGGCGTTGTTATAAAAAGTAATCTTTACGAAAGCTGTTTTCTTTCCAGCAACAAAATGTGGAATCAATGCAATATACATTTTTCATAAGTGCGTGACATCCAGTAGTTGCTGCGCCAACAATCCAAGACCGCCACTGCGTGAGCACGTACACTGTGTATCTATTGGAAGCCAGGGCTACGCCAGCGATCTGCGTGGACTCGGCTCAGCTCGCGTCAAGGACAAGTTCATTCGTTAACGTTCGGCAAATTCGGATCCAATTACAGGCTTCAGGCCCAACAAATGGCGACCACCAATGTTGCGTGAGAAGGGGTTTGAAAATGGTTTCTTGCCATTTTTAACGGTGTAAACGATTAACAGATTAATCGTAACATTTTATTTTTAGTGAGTGATTGAAGTTGTTCAGCATGTATGGCACCAATTTGCTTATGCCCACTAGTTGAATCACAAATACAAAACAAAAATATCGCCGGGCTCCAAAGCACAGATAGTTTTTTGGCGCACATTACGAGAAAATCAATCGCCATATTTTGTTAGTCCCGAAACAAAACTAGGCAACAGCTGAGATCTTCGCACCGACGCTCCTTCCATCGTTACAGTTCTTCGTCCCGCTCTCAAAATTTATTCTCACGTGTCTAAATTGCACCAACTTGTTTGTGTCTTAAAATTCAAAATCTTTATCCAATCAACGTGTGCCTCTGAAAGAATCACAGAATACTTTCTAGTGTCTGTCTTTTTTTTTTCTTATATTGTGAGTTTTATGTCGAGCACATCTTCATCATTCAGGCTAAAACAAACTCAGCGAAGTGAGCTTCAAAGAATAAGTGGCACAAACCCAGTAATATATATCCCTGGCACTCTATCTCCCGATCTTTATACTCGTATCTTTCCCTCTTCTTTCTTTTTATAAGCGTTACTTTCGGTGGCACCGATTTCCTCTTATCGGCATCTGCCACAGCCCGAGGCCGGAACAACAACCAAAAAAAAAAAAAAGAAAAAAAAAATTTTGCGAGACAACATAAACGAGAGGATAAAAAAAAATCCTCTCACTAGGAAGAACACCGGGACATGCTTTTGAAACGCTGAGGGTGTTGAAGACAAAACGAAATAAAAACGAAGCTAGCCCAGGAGGCCTCGCCAAGAAAACTCACCTGCAAACTGTCTGACCGTAACAGGCGCTAGAGCTAAGTCGATTTCGGAACTCATTTACAGCATATCGACTTCCCGCTTTCGTGCTCTCGCTCGCGCCCCTTTGTCCCCTTCGCTGGTTCCCTTTGTGTGTGCAGATGTTTGTAAATGTAGGAGTGCACGTATGTGTGTGCCGAACGGAATGGGAGGATAGCCGGGCTGCGAATCGGGTGAAAGAAGCGACTTGATCGGGTGTTTCTGCGAAGATTTTTACAAATTTCTAAAAAAACATGAAGTTTCAGTTAGAAACCTGCACAGGGTGATCAAAGATCCCTACATCAGTCAACTTTAGATTGCCCTGAATCACGTGAAAAGCGCGGTGGTCCATTAAATTTACCATTCCTGCAGCAGGCGCGAGGTCGGCGAGAATCGTCTTCTCCTTAGGTTGAACGAGCCAGTTATGTCGAGCGATAAGGTAGCTGTTTATCCACTCCCTAAATGGCTGCAATGGCGGTGTTTCCCTGAGACCGTGGTCCCTATATTTGTATTCCCTCTTTGGCCTCTTTCCTCCTTTCTTTTTCCGAAGAACCAGTGCAGTCGAAGCGCCAAAATTTGGTCCTCGCTCATCGTTTTTGCGCGTTTGTGATCAACAGCTAAACCAAACAGGCACAGTGAATGAGCCGTAATCTTGTGCTTGGGCGTGATTGATTTAGCCGCTGACAGAAGCGCACCAAGTCGACGAGCCAAGCGACAACGCACGTTTGGCGCTGCTTCATTTGCTTCGTGGGACTACAGCGTCGGCTACAACTAGAACCAGTGTAAAACAGCGTGGGGTGGTTTATCTGCGTCACCTACCGCAGGCCAGCACGGTGCACGGGCTGGGCACGACACCAACGTTCGACTAGGACTCGTGTTCGATCAATGAGGACACGAATCACCTCCGAACGCTGGCATGGCCCTCGCGTCCCCGCACCGCGCCGCCTCCGGGGGGCGACGTCCAAGGCCCAACACAACTGCCTTGTCGCCGGAAGCTTCAGTCTCCTTAGAGCTACATTGTCTCCCCTTATTCTCGCCGCCTCGTTTTTCCCCACAGAGCCCCACACGCAGACTCCGCCCCGCATGGCAGAGTACCGCAGCGTCGTCCAGGTGGAGCAGGGCGACCAGGCGGTCCTGCCCTGCTTGGCTCAGGGCAACCCGCCGCCCACGCAGACCTGGTACCGGCTGCACGGCCCAGCATCCTCCTCTTCCAGTACGGGTCTGGGGAACCCTACGAAAGGACTGCGGAGGTCCTCGAGCCCCGTGGTGCCCTCGGAGCGGCTCACCCTCCTCGAGGGAGCCCTGGTCCTGCACGGGGCCAGGACCCAGGACGGAGGGAAGTACGCCTGCGTCGTCAACAACTCGGCTGGAGAGGACAGGGCCGACACGGACCTCCTCGTTACAGGTAGGATTTTGGTTTCATATTCTGTAGGCGGTACTCCTACTGATGTGCTTTCTTTTATACTTCACACAATACTGGAGTGTCGAAGGTACTGAAGAAACACCGCGGTTTCTGTCACATGCTTTCGCATAATGAATATGGAAGAAATCGTACCAAACTGTCTGAGATATAAGTTATAGAACGGACCCGTGTTTTTTCTTCGTAAAATTGATATGCAAGATTCAACACCTACGAGGAGCTATGATGTAAATCGTGCTGCCAATACGTTAAGAAGTATATCCATAGGGATTTAAGGAGGTTCCAAGGTGCCATTTGATCAACCTGGTATAAATAATATTAAAATAAGGTTAAACCATTTAAAAGCATCTTTTATTTTTAATTGTTCGACGATCAATGGGATTCATTCGATGTAAATGCTTTAGCATTGGTTCTTGAAACTGCTTCCTTCCCTTTTCACTTTCCGCTGCACGCTTCTGCAGTGACGAATTGCCTAGGCTGCTGTCGCCAAGCGGTAATGCCTTTCCTCTTTGCTTTTTCCTGCAAGCTTCCGTCTCCTTTCCTTTACGGCGCAGCCTAGAGACGCTTACGCTATTCCTCGGTTTCGGCCTGACGTCGCCGACGCGTGGCCTCGGCTTTCTCTCGTCGTCGCTCATGGATATGGTCAGCCACATCACTCGTGGAAAGAACCATATCCATCGCAGTAGCGGCAACTGTGCTGGGACGCCTTCCAAAGCGGCGCGGCACCCGCTCGTCTCTGGCTCCGCGCAAGCTGTGCGACGCTCGTATTACACCCTAAAAAGAAAGGTGTAGCTTTTACACCTCTTGTCACAAATTTGACACCCCAAAACTTCAGTTCGACGCACAGCGCAATAACATCAAAATGATGGCAGCATCTTTTACGAGAGGCTCGATGACGGTTGGATATAACATATTCAACAGCTAAAGTACTTATCAAAGACTTCAAAAGAAAATCACTGAGGTTTTTGCAGGAGGGCCAAGAAAACCCCGATAACTTTTTTTGCATTGAGTCATACGTGCATTAGATATTTTAATAAGTTGTGCAACTCGGCTTTCAAGCCGCTCGTGAAAGTTGGTACCTTCGGTTCAACCTCAGCGCGCTGTATGTCGAACTGAAGTTTTGGGGTGTCAAATATGTGGCATGGGGTGTAAAAGCTACACCTTTTTTTTTAGAGTGTAGCAGTAGCTATGTAAAGCAACTTTCATATTTCAAATCGTCGGTAAAGGGTGGCGCTGTTATCGTAGTTACCTTGGTCTCGGTGGACGCCAGCGGTGCAGGTTTGAAGGGTGAGTTTTCCCACTGAGTGTTTTAGTAACGTTGGATAATGTTCAATGCGTCAGCATTAGAACGCACGTTTTCACGAAAACCCTCCGCTAAGTCCGTGCGTCCGTTTCTCATCGCCATGCATGACGTCAATAAGAAATCGGGGTGGTGAGGAGGTATCTTGTCGGTGGCAGAGAGAGAGAGAGGGTGACGCGTGCTGACGTCAGCGCTTTAGAGTAGTCACTGAATGTTCTCAGAGTACTGACACCCCCAGGCTGGAGGTGCCAAGATGGTGGCTCAATTTTTTTTCCTTTACTGTGGTCACCATGAGCTTTCATAAAGCTTGTTTTTTGCGTAAAAACAAACGAAAGAAGCTTTTTTTTAGGACATTTTATCGAAGATTAGTTCAAAATGACAGGCGCGTGATGTTTGTATAAAAGTTTAGTTCACGGGGTTTTGCGGCAAAATTATTATTTTGATTTATTCGGCCGTGTCTCACCGGTGGTCTTTGGTGGCTTGTCCGGACCTGGTTGCGTTTTAACTTCAGTGATTAATTGCGGCGCGTCCGTTTGAGAGACGGGGCATGGCAGCCCTGAAACACCTTTGCACTGTATACATTTAGGTGTCAAAATAGCCAATCCAAGCCAAAATGGAAGAGTAACAGCGGCCGTTATCGAATGCGATACTCTGACTCCTGGGAGTTGGTGCCAACGGCCCTTGCGCGACTCGACCTAAGCGAATGCGTGCAGCCGTGCAGTTAAACGAGTTGCCGCTGCGGGAGAAATGGTGGCGTTGCGATCGCCATTACTTTGGTGATCGAGTAGAGATCGGTGCCACGTTTTCAGAATAGGCTCCATGGTAATGTCCCAACTGAGTCCTTCTAGTAACATTGACATTATCCGGTTGGTGGAAGCGCCTCGTCGCAACGCGCACCTTCCACCCTACTGGTCGGCAGGAAAATGACAATGTTAACCCTCCCCTCGACTTACACCATTAGTGAGTCGACCATCTTCCCTCGTTTTTTTTCACCAACTTTGGCTAGTCCAAGAAGTTAGCGAAGAACAAAGACAGAGGGCACCGCTCCCATCGCAAAGTACAAGCGAGTGCCTGCCAACTGGCATTTCTGTTCGCTGCAGGCAGAGTCCGAAAACGCCATATAAGAAAGTTCGCTAGCGTGTGTATTCGCAATGATTCTGAGCAGCACCAATGGACCTTGTCCACATACCGACGGCACCAGGCGGTGGCTGCACGAACTAAAACTCGAGGAAGTCACTTACCTGCGCTACAAATCGATAATGGGAGCTACGCTACCAGTTTCTTCGCTCTCTGAGCTGCGGCGCGTGCCCAACGTGACTTTAAAGAGGGGCATCCGTGGCATCCAGCCAAACGTCACGTTTTTCTTTCCGTCCACTTTCTTTTTTTGTGTAACCCAATTATATATATGCTGCAATTACCTGTTCTACTCTGTGATCCACAGCCTCTTTCCGAATTTACTGGATTTTTCGTGCCACCTTCCGCCACTTGGCATTGGACGCTCGCGCGTGCGCAGAACGCTTCTCGGAAAAGGTCTATTTCCGTCTATACTCCGTCTCACCTTACGACGCACCGGAAGACGCCACTACCCCTCCCAGTCAATCCAGCTCTGTGAGAGTATCAAGTAACTACGATTCCCGCCCGTCGCTGAGCCCCAACTGAGGGCCCCGTGCCACTCATACGACACTGGACTGGCTTTGATGGCTCGTAGCCTCTTCTGCGGCTTGTAGCGTCTTTCGCTTTCAAGGAACCAGACGGAGCAGACTCGAACCTGGTTACTAGTTTACGCATACCGAGTCTGTGAGCAACACACCCTGCTTCTGACGCACTCAACCTGCCCTCGTCAGCTGTCTGGTCACATAAAAATTAAAAAAAAAAAAACTGCGCTGTCGGCTTTTTTCTTCGTTTTCTTTTTTATTTCTTCCTACGAGAGCGAGAGTCCCTCTAAAATGGGGTTGCTTATTTTTGCGAGCAGGTGACAAGCAGACACTCAGCAGGTGGTAAGGTCACCTTGAGAGCACACAATAGGAGCTTTCTTTTCTTTTCTTTTTTTTCTTCTTTTTTGCTTTCAAATGAAACTTTTAATTGGTAAAAGACAAGTGTATATTTTATTTAATACGTTTACATTTAAAAATAAATTACTTCTCTGTTTTTTCTCAACCTTAAATTATGTGTTAAAGCAATAAAAAATACCGGTTGTTTTAAATGTTATTTGCCCGGAACAAGCTCTGAACGCTCAGAACTCAATGCCTGCAACTCGTAGAGTCACTTCAAGGCTCAAATGTAGTTTGAAAGACCCTGAGTGTTTGCGTGATCAATAAAAACGGCCTTAAATTTTGTGCGACTTTTTTTCAAACAATCAGCTTGCTCTCCTGTACCTAAGCGGGACTTTAGCGTTCGCAAAATAGATTCCTCGTCAATACTGAGACAAGCTACTTCGGAAAGGATTGACGGAAACGCAATATTTTGTTACTTGAAGGTCAGAACACGGCCCAAATCATATTCTTGTCGTTTTGACACATATTTTTACAGATGAAGAATTTGAATGTACACGTAAGTATGTGTATTTGCAATAACCATACCTGACAGGAGGCCACTCCGCTCTAAATGATGGTGTTCATTACCAGACATTGTTTAGGCCTTGGTAGCTGAAGCCAAGTCAGCAAGCGGGTAGTTAGTTTGCCTCGTAATGTGGCAATTTTTGTCACCGGTGAAAACTGGGAAATTTTAGAGCGCTGCTCTTAGGCGCCCGTTTCCGGATTGAGCGGCGTCGGCGTCGCCGTCGGCGTAACCGCGCGTTGCATTATGGGGCGTTTTTCATAATGACGTCACGTTACGTCACGTGTGACGTCACGAGGGTAACGAGTGACGTCACCGCGCGTTGCATTAAGGGTAACTTTTCCCGCTAAATTTAGCAGAAACATTTCCCCTCTAAATTTAGCGCTACATGACGCGGCCACAAGAGCAACCCCATCTGGACATCCGGCAACACACTGCAGCCGCAGCCATTCCTCCCCGTTATTTAAAGACACAAAAATGTCTGGCCAGATACCCTGATAAGATATCCAGAGAGCTCCACGAAGGTTTTGATATCAAAGCAAAAGGCAAGATGTGCACAAGTGACACTTCGATAACCTTATCAACAAAAGAATTTGATTTTCTAGAAACGGGTCTACACCGTGCCTAGTCGTGACGAAGGGTTTTTTACGGCTATATAAGGGATTCGTTGTTTCAATGAATGTTAGTTGCGAGTGCACCAGGGTTAACATCTCTTTTCCTTGTGTTCTTTGGAGCCTGTCTACGAAGTCCTCAGGGCACATTTTATACAGAAAGCCTGAAATCAGCTAGGCGAACAAACTGGTTCATCTACCGGCTTTACCGTGTATAGTTAATTCCAGGTCATTTGAGTTCATGTGACTTCATCTCCGGACAAGTCATGCCTACACTTCACACTAAAGACATTCAATTCCAAGATGTTTCGTCCCATGGCCTTTTGCGCGAGGGACGCTCTATTCCAGGAGGTTTTATGCCAGCGGAGCTTAAGCGATATCTTGAGCCGTATTAAGAATATCCTTGCATGAAGCGTCTCAGATGAAACGTCTTGAAAATAATGCGTTTGGTATTGAGTGGGAATGAAGTGTGAGATAATGAACTGTCCTTGCGATAAAGTGTGTTGGAATGTAGTAAGGGCACTTCGTGTCCGGGCACTTAATGATACAGCCCTAAGACAACTTCCTAATTTATGTCGTCTGCAGTGCCTCTGTCAGCGCGACTGGAGCCACTGGTACAGACCGTGGACGTGGGCAGGACTGCCAACCTGAGTTGCCGCGTGGCAGGCCACCCTGTGCACGGCGTCCAGTGGACGCTCAATGGCCGCCCCCTGGCCAAGGGCAATCCCCGGTTGACCCTACTCTCCAGGGACCTGCTCCAGGTGTCTCCCGTACAGCGCGAGGACAGGGGCATGTACCAGTGCCTTGCCTACAACCAAAGAGACTCTGCCCAGGGCACTGCTCAACTGGTCATTGGAGGTGGGCTTACGTTTACTCAAGCCACGACTTGTAAAGTCTGTGCGTTGATCATATTAGAGAGTTTTAGTGGACTGTACGATGGTGACCGGGCGCGTGCCTAATTGAGGCTGCGAAGTGACGGCACGAGGTTCCGCTATACTCTGTTTCACCTTATTTTGTACTGCAGGAAAGGCTATAAACGCGAGCTCCCAGCTCTGAGGCAGATCTCGGCGGCACAAGCTCTCGTGCAGTAAGGGCACCTGTCAATGCTATGAGCTCGCGCTTCCAGCCTTCGCTGCGGTACAGCATAAGGCGAAACGGAGTATAGCAACGCGCAGCTCTTGCCTACGGTCTATTAAACGTTTATTTAATTAATGCACAATACACCTTTTGCCGATTAACCAAGCATCGAAGAGAATGCCGGGAACGTAGGTACATGCGCTGCACGTGCTGGCGTCTGGAAGAATAACTGTTCGAAGTCCAAAATCTAAAACAAATTGAAATTTGCACGCGCGTTCGTCAACGCCTTATTTAGATTGTTTGCTTGAATCTTTTATGCAGAGAAAGTGAGTGCGTCCAGCTCGTGTACCTATAATACCAGCATTCGCTTTGGGGCTTTGGGTAATTTAGCGAAATGTCTATTGCGTTCCTACGGAAGCGAACTCAAGATTTCACTAGCGTCGCGTAGGCTCGTGGCGTGGCACAGTTCACGTTAGAAGAGTGTGCCTCCTCATAAAGCCTGCGCCACAAGCCAGTTACACTGGTTTACAAGGGTCCAGTATGGATACGTGTTGAGTCATCCCACACGAAGTTCCCTCGTTTGAGTCTGTAAATCCCCATATTTGTAGCAAGAAAAAAAAAAAAGAAAAGGTCGAGGAGGCGACATTTTGAAAAGACGCGGCGGCCCGTGCCAGGGGGACGAATACTATAGTTGAAAATAGACTGGATTTCTCATTAACTGGAATCCTGCATAGAGGGCTTCATCGATAAATGGGAATACAGCTGCAAATTATTTTGACCGAATATTTCTTTTTTTTTTTTACAGAAATGTTAAAAACTAAACGTCTTATGTCATTGTGCTCCCCAAGATACAGCAGCAAATGTCGACCAGATCTGGACAACAAAAACTGCAGAAGCTTTATCGTTGAAACAGTTTGTTGCATATATAAGATCAACACAAAAAGCCTACCGAATAGCGTTAATTAAAATTAACTGTTGGGCTAGTTGGTTAACCATCTTAATTTAATATTGTTAATTTTTCATCAAAAATTTTTTAAACATTTTTTGTGCGAATGCAACTGGCATTTTAGTTTCGTAATTCTCCTCTCCTTTTCGTCTTTCTTTTTTTCATGCAATAAACAATCAGTTGTTAGCAAGCTCTTGTCCTGCTCATTCTTTGTTCTGTCCTTGTCCTCTGCGCTTTTGTACTTAAGATAGCGTTAATTAATGTAAACTCTTTTGATAATACTTCAACTGACAGTGTGCAGAAGGCTAAAAGTTCGTGCATCAAGCAGCAAAATGCCTCATAATTTATTTGAGTTTCTGCCGAAAATGGCGTACTAGATAGACTGCTGGAAGTGGCCGTTTTCACGCGGATATTGAACTTGAGAAGCTTAACATTAATGTGAAATGTAAGCTTCTTAACGTTCGACTCCTATAAATATGTTTTTTATTTATATTTCGCCTGTCAACATACAAAAATGATGAAAACTCAGCATGCACACAGGTCTTTCGCTTAGTCCGCAACGTCTCTCTCAAGGTATTCGTGATTGCTGTGAAAAGTTTGCAAGTCGATAGTAACAAAATGAAAACGGCGCACCCAAGTACCCATGCACCATAAAACTTACGCTTCGCTTCGTACGATGGATTTCATAAAGTGTTTTTGTTTTTTTCTTGTCACCGAGTTAGTCCCCATAACATCAAACGGTCCATGGCATGTGTCGGTTTTTATGAGGTGCAAGCGTTATTCGTCACAAACAGTTCAACTGCACCAAAACATGTTTAAAGGGAGCACGCAATATTTTCCGTCATTAAGAGCGCCATAAAATACGGATCCACTAGCCCCACCCTACTTCCCGACGCGCATAAAAAAAATAAAAAAAAAATAAACATGATTGGTTCAAGACTCGAAATTCCGAGCACCACGCACTTAACGTTTATAACGCACGCTCGCCGCGGTTAGCCGAGCGCGCGTCTGAACGCAACTACTTCGCGTGTTATTACTTTAATCTTAAAAAGAAAGCGCCGCCTAATTGCCCAAACGAAAAGCGTTGTTCTGTTACGAGCTCTCGTTAGAAAAGAAACGTAAAAAGGCCATGGCTTGTTTTCGCCCTGCACTAACTTCAAACAACTTGTTCTGCTCTGATACGAGAATCCGTTCCCTCCTTTTTCCACGCATAACCAAATCACCTCTTAAGCTAACAAATATCACGACCGGCTGCCTAAGAACATCGCGGAACTTTCCGAGCTAACGGTGTTGAAAATTAGCTAAAATCCTCGCCCGAGGTTTTGTTTTGGTAGTTTTTGCTGTCGTTTTCTTTTTTTTCGCTCGAGAATTAGAAAAGGGTCGTTCTGAACCTACTAGTGTTTATTTTTTTCTTCTATTATCAATTTTGTTCCCACCATAGACAAGGCGAGAGAACAAGTATGGCACGAACCAAAAAGATAAACTTGAAGATTAGTCCACATTTTGTATTTGATATTTCTTTTTCTAATCTTGTCTTCGTAACAGTGTCCATGTTTTACGCTACCACTAATTACCCATTGTTGAAAAGCAAAGTTTTTTTTTTTTTTTTAATATCAAAACGCAGGGAGACGCCAAAAATAAAGTGATATGAGAAGAAATACAACAGGATGCGGAACAGAGCGTTTTTATTATTCTTACTGAAAAAAAAATGCAATAAGTGAACGCCATTTTTTGTTCTTTCGATTCTGCACGCTGCTCGACCCGGAATTACAAAACGAGGATTGAAAAGGGCACTTACGAGGCCTCTCTGAAATCTTCAAATCGTTTTCTTCGTTGCTTCTCGACATACCTTTTCATTATTATTTTTCAGTTTTACCCTCAATCGTATATCAGTTCCTGTTACCAAACTCATGCGTAAAATCACAGCACAAATGTGTTTTCTCTTTCGATAAAAATGCGAATGGCGCTTTGCTCCGCTTAATTGTAGCATATGACGTAAAATATGTGAAACAGGTGGAACAAACTTAGCACGAACATGCAATAGTCAATTTATACCACTATATATATGTATATATATATATATATATCCGAGTATTCATCAAAACTACAAGTGACACTCCAAAGTGCACCTCATGCAACTGCAAAGACGATGTAGATCATACGTTGTGCGCATGCGCTAAGTACCAAACACGACGCGAATGCATGAAAAGAATACTTCACCAGCTGGATCGCAGACCATTCAATGGAAAAAAAATCCTAGGCCCATGGAAGAACAAGCGGCATCAACGCATCGTCTTAAAAGCTCTGCAAAAGTATGTCGAAGACACCGGACTGATCGATCAACTTTGAGTGTGTGCGTGTGTGTGTTGTGTTTTTGTGCGCGTGACTTACTCTTGTTCTAATCGTCTTTATTCCCCTCTACCCTTCCCCACGGAGTAGCCAGCCAGAGAAAGCACGAACTCCGGCTTACCTCTCCATGCTTCAATAAATATCTATCTATCTACAAGTGTAATAGAATGCTTTTTCTTGGGCACCTTCTTCGGCAGTAAGAGTTCAAATCTGTCACAGCTTTGTTTGAGTAAAACAAGAACGCGAAAATTTACTATTACGATACGATACGATACGATATGATACGATACGAGTTTATTTTTCACCACAGATACACGTGGTGAATGAGAGGCCGGAGAAAAAAGCTGCAGAAATGCAGCTTGACTAAGCACCGGTCCCCCCTTTCAGCAGCTGACAGAGCACAGGGAAATCTATTTACAAAGTGTGTGAGTATGACATAGAATGGACAACACGCAAGGCTAAATGAACAGTTCAAAAATAGTTCTTTTGGACAGATGTCCAACATCAATATTTCTATCAAAGTAGCTATTCAAGAAAACAGGCAAAGTGTAACTTATTTTCTGTTTACCATAATTGGTCCTACACTTCGGAATCTCCCAAGGCTGGTGATGTCTACATGAATAAAAGTCAGATTTTTCTTTTAAATCAGAACGTTTAAGAGCAATATCTGAGCGCCCAAATTCGCCCTTACTAAGCCGCACAGTTACTTGCAGTGCTAACGTAGGTTCGCTATGAGCATAGAAGGCCTCAGCAGAGTCATAAATATTAAAATACTATAAATTTCTTGACGTCGTCCGACACTTTTCTTTTCTGAAAGCGTTTTCAGTTTGTACAAGGTCTTCTCTCTCTCTCTCTCTCTCTCTCTCCCCCCCCCCCCCCCCCGCGAAAGTTTATATATATATATATATATTTTTTTTTTAAGAGCAAAAGTAAAAAACGCATTGCAAAAGGCTCATTATCTCCTTAAAGGTAGTGTTAGAGGTTCGAATCAGATGCCAAAGTTTCCGAACGTTATTCGAAAGTCGTAAGTGATTTTCTGAAAATTCCAATGCAAAAATGGCGGTTGGCCCGAAAAAGGCGAGAATGGGCCCATTTTCCTATCGAAGTTTTCAAACAATTACTTATAGCTTCTGAATAAGAGATCGGTTCGGGCCACGGTGGTTCGGGCTGAAACTCGTGGGGGACGAGGGTGGAAGACGACGGGGCGGAGGGGCACGTGACAGGCGGTCGGCCGGAGAGCCACGAGCTGGCGCGTGACAGAGCGTGCTCGGCGAGGCTGGGGCCGGGCAGGAACGACGGAGCCGGTCTGGCCCATAGTGATCTTCGGATTGGTCCTCCAGTGGGGTTTCGACCAGGAGACCGGCGGGCACGGACTCTCGGCCCTCGAAAACGGGTAACCCAGTAAACCCATTCGCGTGTCATCTCATTGCGTCCTCGGGAGATGAAAGAAGCACAGACCGATCGGGCGGCGATTATTTTAGAGCGA